CCAAATAAATCACTCCATGAAGGAATGTCACACACACATTCACAGCCCAAATGTGTCTGGTTTCCATGTGGAACTCATTCATCATGATTTCGACAAAAAAAAAAGATTTTCAAATATGTGAAATGCAGTAACAGAGTTCAAATGAATTAAACCCTCAAGTAAAGCCACAAAAGCACTTTATCAAACTACCCGCTAACATGTGCAATCCTCCGACCGGACCTCAGGGAAGGTTATCATCCAGTGTTAATGAGTAACGGGATCAGATACAGACTCCGGAACAAACAAACCATCCGTCTCGGAACACACACACTCTCAGGAAACGCTGAGCTTCGAGAGGTTACGCTTGAACTACTAGAAGTACTATTTGTGCCAAAAGGAGATATAAAATAATCCAATTAAATAATACGACCGTCTCACTGATCAGAAGTTCTGTGGTTTTTAAGAGCCACCCATCACAGAAAACTTCCACATTTCCAAAAGCCTTCGGTGGAGCATCAGCAGTCGGAGTTATTCAGGCGTCATCACGCGATCTCTTACAGTGACACAACAGCAGGCTTGTTAGTGTAATGTTTTACAGTTGATTATCAGGAAATGACATCACAGGGGAATTAAAGAATTAGAGACAGGAAGTGAGGCGGCTCGGACAGGAAACAGACAAGTGTGCGTTTGGGAGCTCGTACCTGGAACAATCTCCACATTAAAGCCAGGCAGAAGATCATCGGCCAAAACTGTCTGACCTGGAGAGACAGATGAGACGGAGAGAGAGAGAGAGAGAGAGGTAGAGAGAGACAGACAGACAGAGAAACAGATGAGAGAGAGAGAGAGAGAGAGAGACATAGAGAGAGAGGTAGAGAGAGAGAGAGAGACATAGAGAGAGAGGTAGAGAGAGAGAGAGAGAGGTAGAGAGAGAGGTAGAGAGACATAGAGAGAGAGGTAGAGAGAGAGAGAGAGAGAGAGAGAGGTAGAGAGAGGTAGAGAGACATAGAGAGAGAGAGAGAGGGAGAGAGAGAGAGAGAGAGAGAGAGAGAGAGAGAGAGAGAGAGAGAGAGAGAGAGAGAGAGAGAGAGAGAGAGAGGGAGGTTAAGCAGAGCGCCAGAGCTGAGAAAGAGGAATCATGTGTTGATTTCATGCAGACAGAGAGAAGATCATGTGAAATGTGTGTGAGCAGAAACATGAAGGATTGAAAGATTCCTCCCTAAACTCTCTCCTGGTTCTGTGGGGTTCCAGCCGTTCTCTGGGACAGCAGCCGCTCACACATGATTCCAGCGCTGGCTGATCCTGGAACAGCTCATGAGAACAGTGATGCTAGCCTTAGCAAACCACTGATCCCTGCTTACACGCAAACAAGAGCAAGATGTTTCTCCTCTTCTCATCTCAGTGAGGAGTGTGTGTGTGTGTGTGTGTGTGTGTACGACTGCATGAAGAGAGTCTGTAGAAACTCCTCATGTTTGATCCTCGAGGTCAAAGGTCAATCGATGACACTGAAGGGCATTACACACATTTATCAGTATTTGAGGTACTAAACTCTTTTATAAAAATCTGGCTTTTAATGTAGTTTATGTGTCAATGTGGTGTTTTTAATATGCTTTAAGACACACCATGTGTAAAATCATGTCAACACCGTTGCAGTGAAAAAAATCGCTGGTGTTTCTGACGTCACAAACGACCTTGTAACCAATCAGATCAACGTGTGATCGTCAACCAGTGTGAGTGAGTGAGTGGAGGCGGGGCTCATTTGAATATTCATAGAACAGCATATACTACATGGAAGTTGAGTTTTGCTTTAGTTTGGTTCACTTATTTTCTTCAAACTATGAATCCAAATAAATCCAAAATCCGTTCCTTCAGCTATAATGGATTTCTCAAAAATCTCTCGATTATTTTCCTTCAAACTGTCAAAATCAGTCGATTCTATTTCCCTCACAGCTGCGCTTGATCCATCATCTAACGAACTCGAGTGTAATCTAAAGACGGTCCTGGTCAGGAAACGGGAACGACCTCCTGTGTTGCTCGAGGCTTAAAGCGCATTCCGGCTCTGCGTCTGCCAAACTCGCACTGGACCCCACTGACGAAAGAAACAAAAGTTGTGTCCCAAATGACGCACTATACACTCGAGTGTGTAGTGTATGAACATTACGAGGTTATCTCGTCAGTGGACAGTCCAGGGAAGGACTAGTCCTACATTACACACTTCCTCTTGGATGTCTTTTCCAGTAATAAACAAACACTGTTAAGTTGTTTTGATTGATACTGTGAAGCAGCTTTGATACAATCTGTATTGTGAAAGCGCTATATAAATATATTTGACTTGACTTGACTCTTCTTGGTTCATTAATTATCCAGGTATTGAAAGTGCACTTTCTCCTGTGGAACTCTCAGTGTGAACACGCATGCACCGATCGCACTATTTATACTACAAACGCCATAGAATAGTGCAGAAGTACGTGAACTGGGACGCAATATCGTTTTTTTTTGTGCTGCACAGACGAAAGAAAGTCAGACCGGTTTGTAATGAGGCGAGTGTAAATGATCATCCGGACTCGTTCTGATATCTGGCTGGTTGAGATGTTGAGAATAATGCAATATTTTGATGATTAAGCACATCATTATTATAGTACTTCATTTAAGTAATGAGATCTTTGATTAAATTACTGTAATGATCTTTCACTGCTGCTTTTTTTGATTGACATCTCTAATTTTTGTCCAGTTTGCTTCCTAAAGATGTCAAGCTCAGCTTCATTGAGATGAAGGGTAAATAACTCGAGCCCTTCTCTCTCTCTGTCTCCACATCTGCACAGAGCGCTTACGTCACGCTGCACAGCTGGATGCTGCACTGTTGCCATGGCAGCACATGATTCTGTGGTCAAATAAATATATATACATTGTTTTTTTGCATTTATGAAAAATATAAATTTATCAATAACTACAAATGCATTGACTGTTTTTTATTTTAATTTTAAACCTTAACTCCATTATTTAATCAATGTATTTAGTTAATGGTTATAATCACGTATATCTAAGGTGGATGAACAACATGTCCTGCAAACATGCATCAAATCAATGACTTCATTTCTTCACTCAAGACACTAAACGCGTGACAGCATGAGCTGAAGCGTTCGAGCCGATCTCTGCGATCCGAAGCTTCAAGCGCCACACAGAGCGGACACTGCTCGGGTCAGACCTGCTCTCTGACACTGCAAACACATCAAAGCTATCTCAGATCTTCAGGAGCATTTTTATGATCAACACTGTCTAACATGATGAAATATTGACTCTTACTGAACTTCTAAACCGCTGACCTCTTACTGTAGAAAACATGAATACAGACATTATACATCACAAAATCTGTATTTGGTTGACGAAAAGGAAACTCTGTCAAACCCTGAGTGTGATTGTGAACATGATCGAACTCCCGCACAAACCTCAGGACGAGCCTAGTGTAGTGTAGTTTGTAGTGTAGTGTGTTGTGTTGTGTAGTGTATAGTGTAGTGTAGTTTGTAGTGTAGTATGTAGTGTGTAGTGTAGTGTATAGTGTAGTGTATGGTGTAGTGTGTATTATAGTATGTATTATAGTATGTAGTGTGTAGTGTAGTGTAGTATAGTGTAGTGTGTATTGTAGTATGTAGTGTAGTGTGTAGTGTAGTGCGCTCACCCAACACAAGCAGCTCCACATGCGCTTCATTCTGACCCTCCAGATCGTCAGAGATCACGACTTTACAGAAGTAAACGCCACTGTCGCCCCACTGCAGCTCACCGATGCGCAGATCAGCCTCTGAGAGACAGACAGACAGTCAGTCAGACACACAGTCAGACACACAGTCAGACACACACACACACACACACACACACACACACACACACAGTCAGACACACAGTCAGACACACAGTCAGACGCACAGTCAGACGCACAGTCAGACGCACAGTCAGACGCACAGTCAGACGCACAGTCAGACACACAGCCAGACAAACAGTCAGACAAACAGTCAGACACAGTCAGAGATACAATCAGACAGACACACACACACACACACACACAGCCAGACACACAGCCAGACACACAGCCAGACACACAGCCAGACACACAGTCAGACACACACACACACACACACACACAGTCAGACACAGTCAGACACAGTCAGACACACAGCCAGACACACAGCCAGACACACAGTCAGACATAGTCAGAGATACAATCAGACAGACACAGACACACAGTCAGACACACAGTCAGACACACAGTCAGACACACAGTCAGACACACAGTCAGACACACAGTCAGACATAGTCAGAGATACAATCAGACAGACACACACACACACACACACAGCCAGACACACAGTCAGACACAGTCAGACACAGTCAGACACACAGCCAGACACAGTCAGAGATACAATCAGACAGACACACAGTCAGACACACAGTCAGACACACACACAGTCACACACAGTCAGACACACACACACACACACACACACACACAGTCAGACACACAGTCAGACACAGTCAGACACAGTCAGACACAGTCAGACACACAGTCAGACACACAGTCAGACACACAGTCAGACACACAGTCAGACACACAGTCAGACACACAGTCAGACACACAGCCAGACACACAGTCAGACACACAGTCAGACACAGTCAGAGATACAATCAGACAGACACAGACACACAGTCAGACACACAGTCAGACACAGTCAGACACACAGTCAGACACACAGCCAGACACACAGCCAGACACACAGCCAGACACACAGTCAGAGATACAATCAGACAGACACACACACACAGTCAGACACACAGTCAGACACACAGCCAGACACACAGCCAGACAGACAGACACACACATACACACACACACACACACACACACACACACACACACACACACACACAGTCAGACACACAGTCAGACACACAGCCAGACACACAGCCAGACACAGTCAGAGATACAATCAGACAGACACACACACAGTCAGACACACAGTCAGACACACAGCCAGACACACAGTCAGACACAGTCAGAGATACAATCAGACAGACACACACACACAGTCAGACACACAGTCAGACACACAGTCAGACACAGTCAGGCACACAGTCAGGCACACAGTCAGACACACAGTCAGACACACAGTCAGACACACAGTCAGACACACAGTCAGACACACAGCCAGACACACAGCCAGACACACAGTCAGACACACAGTCAGACACAGTCAGAGATACAATCAGAGATACAATCAGACAGACACACACACACACACAGTCAGACACACAGTCAGACAAACAGTCAGACACGCAATCAGACAGACAGACACACACATACACACACACACACACACACAGTCAGACACACAGTCAGACACACAGTCAGACACACAGTCAGACATACAATCAGACAGACACAGACACACAGTCAGACACACAGCCAGACACACAGTCAGACACAGTCAGATACAATCAGACAGACACACACACACAGTCAGACACACAGTCAGACACAGTCAGAGATACAATCAGACAGACACACACACACAGTCAGACACACAGTCAGACACACAGTCAGACACACAGTCAGACACACAGTCAGACAGACAGTCAGACAGACAGACACAGACACACACACACACACAGTCAGACACACAGTCAGACACACAGTCAGACACACAGTCAGACACACAGTCAGACACACAATCAGACAGACACAGACACACAGTCAGACACACAGTCAGACACACAGCCAGACACACAGCCAGACACACAGCCAGACACACAGCCAGACACACAGTCAGACACAATCAGACAGACACACACACACAGTCAGACACACAGTCAGACACACAGCCAGACACACAGCCAGACACACAGTCAGACACAGTCAGAGATACAATCAGACAGACACAGACACACAGTCAGACACACAGCCAGACACACAGCCAGACACACAGTCAGACACAGTCAGAGATACAATCAGACAGACACACACACACAGTCAGACACACAGTCAGACACACAGTCAGACACACAGTCAGACATACAATCAGACAGACACAGACACACAGTCAGACACACAGTCAGACACACAGCCAGACACACAGCCAGACACACAGCCAGACACACAGTCAGACACAGTCAGATACAATCAGACAGACACACACACACAGTCAGACACACAGTCAGACACACAGCCAGACACACAGTCAGACACAGTCAGAGATACAATCAGACAGACACAGACACACAGTCAGACACACAGTCAGACACACAGTCAGACACACAGTCAGACACACAGTCAGACACACAGTCAGACACACAGTCAGACACACAGCCAGACACACAGTCAGACATAGTCAGAGATACAATCAGACAGACACACACACACACACAGCCAGACACACAGTCAGACACAGTCAGACACACAGTCAGACACACAGCCAGACACAGTCAGAGATACAATCAGACAGACACACAGTCAGACACACAGTCAGACACACAGTCAGACACACACACAGTCACACACAGTCAGACACACACACACACACACACACACACACAGTCAGACACACAGTCAGACACAGTCAGACACAGTCAGACACACAGTCAGACACACAGTCAGACACACAGTCAGACACACAGTCAGACACACAGTCAGACAAACAGTCAGACACACAGTCAGACACACAGCCAGACACACAGTCAGACACACAGTCAGACACAGTCAGAGATACAATCAGACAGACACAGACACACAGTCAGACACACAGTCAGACACACAGTCAGACACACAGCCAGACACACAGCCAGACACACAGCCAGACACACAGTCAGATATACAATCAGACAGACACACACACACAGTCAGACACACAGTCAGACACACAGTCAGACACACAGCCAGACACGCAATCAGACAGACAGACACACACATACACACACACACACACACACACACACACACACACAGTCAGACACACAGTCAGACACACAGTCAGACACACAGCCAGACACACAGCCAGACACAGTCAGAGATACAATCAGACAGACACACACACACAGTCAGACACACAGTCAGACACACAGCCAGACACACAGTCAGACACAGTCAGAGATACAATCAGACAGACACACACACACAGTCAGACACACAGTCAGACACACAGTCAGACACAGTCAGGCACACAGTCAGACACACAGTCAGACACACAGTCAGACACACAGTCAGACACACAGTCAGACACACAGTCAGACACACAGCCAGACACACAGTCAGACACACAGTCAGACACACAGTCAGACACAGTCAGAGATACAATCAGACAGACACACACACACACAGTCAGACACACAGTCAGACACGCAATCAGACACGCAATCAGACAGACAGACACACACATACACACACACACACACACACAGTCAGACACACAGTCAGACACACAGTCAGACATACAATCAGACAGACACAGACACACAGTCAGACACACAGCCAGACACACAGTCAGACACAGTCAGATACAATCAGACAGACACACACACACACAGTCAGACACACAGTCAGACACAGTCAGAGATACAATCAGACAGACACACACACACAGTCAGACACACAGTCAGACACACAGTCAGACACACAGTCAGACAGACAGTCAGACAGACAGACACACACACACACACACACAGTCAGACACACAGTCAGACACACAGTCAGACACACAGTCAGACACACAGTCAGACACACAGTCAGACACACAATCAGACAGACACAGACACACAGTCAGACACACAGTCAGACACACAGCCAGACACACAGCCAGACACACAGTCAGACACAATCAGACAGACACACACACACAGTCAGACACACAGTCAGACACACAGCCAGACACACAGCCAGACACACAGTCAGACACACAGTCAGACACAGTCAGAGATACAATCAGACAGACACAGACACACAGTCAGACACACAGTCAGACACACAGCCAGACACACAGTCAGACACAGTCAGAGATACAATCAGACAGACACACACACACAGTCAGACACACAGTCAGACACACAGTCAGACACACAGTCAGACATACAATCAGACAGACACAGACACACAGTCAGACACACAGTCAGACACACAGCCAGACACACAGTCAGACACAGTCAGATACAATCAGACAGACACACACACACAGTCAGACACACAGTCAGACACACAGCCAGACACACAGTCAGACACAGTCAGAGATACAATCAGACAGACACAGACACACAGTCAGACACACAGTCAGACACACAGCCAGACACACAGTCAGACACAGTCAGAGATACAATCAGACAGACACACACACACAGTCAGACACACAGCCAGACACGCAATCAGACAGACAGACACACACACACACACACACACACACAGTCAGACACACAGTCAGACACAGTCAGGCACAGTCAGGCACACAGTCAGACACACAGCCAGACACACAGCCAGACACACAGCCAGACACACAGTCAGACACACAGTCAGACATACAATCAGACAGACACAGACACACAGTCAGACACACAGTCAGACACAGTCAGAGATACAATCAGACAGACACACACACACAGTCAGACACACAGTCAGACACACAGTCAGACACACAGTCAGACACGCAACAGACAGACAGACACACACACACACACACACACACACACACACACACACACACACACACACACACACACACACACAGTCAGACACACAGTCAGACACACAGTCAGACACACAGTCAG